TTCCGTCCCTAGGGGCTCTGCCTCACAGAGTCCCAGCAACCGCTGCAAACCTCGGAGAGAAAGCTGCCTTCGAGTTCCGACCGAAGCCAGACAGTCCCGCTTCTCCCATTTGAGTCTGGGTCCCTAGAGACTCGCCCGGATCTGGAGCTCAGAGTCTGAAACTCCCTCCCGATTGAAAACAACAACCGCGCCCTCCGCCACCAGCCCGCTCCTCGCGCGCACTCCGCACCTGAGTATTTCACTTCAGCACTGCGCCTCCTCTGAGTCTGGGTATGATATTCTCTTTCCTCCTAGTTGTAGAATTTCCACTCAGCGAGCATTCCTGTGGTTCTGGATGATGTTCGTTCCGTCTTTTAGGTGTACCCTTGAATTGGTTGTTCGAGGCAGCAATCTCTGGCGTTAACCTATGCCGCCATCTTCGTTTCTCGAGCAATGCTTTTTGAACTGGTCTATAGATTCAACTCAATCACTATCAAAATCATTGCTGCCTTTTTTTTGCATAAATGATCAGTCTAGTCCTAAAATTTATATGCAAAGAAAAGTTTGCATGTGAAGTCTTGGGAAACCCACCTTCCCAATTTTAATGGCCAAGAGAAGTCAACAAAGATGCCTGAGGAAGAGCATCCAGGGAGGTGGGAGGAACACCAGGACAGTGTGATATCATGTTACTTAGAGGAACAGAGGATTTCAAGGAGTGTGTGGTCCTCAGGATCCATTGCTGCTGGGAGGTCAGGTAAAATAAGGACTGAAAGTTGTCCATTGGATTTGTGATAGGGAAGTCATAGATGTCCTTAAGAGGAACAATTTTGTGAGGTGATGAAGCCAGAATCCAAATTGGAATGAATTAAAGATGAAGATAGAGGTGAAAATGAGATTATAAATACAAACACTTTTTTCAAAGATTTTGGTAGTGAAGAAGAGAAAAGAAGGGGGATTAAAAATGGCAGTGAAGTAAACTGAAGCTACACTAACATGCTCCAAGAACAAAACTGGAAATAGTACAACTAAATATAGAAAAACCACCCTGAAAAATCTACTGAAGACTAGCTGGAGAGAACCCTGATAACCAAGGACAGAAAGTGGAGATGTAGAGAGACTAGTAGGAAGTACAGAGATGTGAAAGGGGTAGACAGGCTCCCACAGAGAGCAGCTGAAGGTCTGGAGGGATATCTCAGCTGTGTGGGGGTCCCACTGATAACTCTGCAGTCTAAACCTCAAGCTGGGCTCCCCAGGCCAGAGCACCAGAACTGAGAACAGTGCCCACATAACATCTGGCTGTGGAAAGCAGCAGGGTTGCTGTCTGCCAGCAAGAGACAGCTGGAAGTGCAGGCACCCTCTTAAAGGGCCAATGCACAAAATTATGTCTGAAGACACTGACCTTGGGCTGCAGCAGAAGGAGGGCAGGATGGACTGGAGCTGTGTGAGGAGCGTCTAGGGTTGGGGGCTCTGGGATTGGAGCTTGGAGGGCAACCACCCTGGTTTCCTGTGCTTGGTCATTCCCTCACACTGTGGAGGACATCTTTCTTCAAGGACCTTTGCTATTCAAGTGGTATTTGCCTGGGGGAAAGGCAGTTGCCACACCCTTTTGGAAGACCTCTTGCCCCACCCTGTGGTCAATACCCTGAGACTAATCAAGGCTGATAACAATCAGACTGCAGGCAGAGGAAGATCTTTGGAGGCTTTGACTCTTTGCCTGATCTCCTTCTGGGCCCAGGGCTGGGAAAAGCAGACCCTGGTGCACATCTTGGTCCCTTCCAAAGGCACCGGCCCCAGAAGAGGGAGCCACAAGCTCTGAGTTGCTGATAGCCCCAAAGAGGACACTCAGGGCCAGTCAGAAACAGTGCCTGACATTGTCCTGCACTGGAGATTGGGATTCATAGCAGATCTACCTAATACACAGTCACAAACCCAAACAGGCAGCCAAAATGGGGAGACAAAAAACAACTCCCAAATGAAAGAACAGAGAATTTTTATGGCTATCATCAACAAATCAACAAACGACAAGTGCTGGAGAGGATGCAGAGAAAAAGGAGCCTCGTGCACTGCTGGTGGGAATGCAGACTGGTGCAGCCACTATGGAAAACGGTATGGAGTTTCCTCAAAAAATTAAAATGTGGAACTGCCATTTGACCCAGTAATCCCATGTACAGGAATATATCCTAAGAAATCAGAAACATCAATCAGAAAGAATGTATGCACCCGTAGGTTCATAGCAACACATTTTTAATAGCTAAAATCTGGAAACAGCCCAAGCGCCCATCAGTATATGAGTGGATGAAAAAAAACAGCTGTGGGACATTTACACTATAGAATACTATGGAGCTATAAAAAAGAGGGATCTCTTTCACTTTGGGACAGCATAGAAGGACCTCAAGAGTATTATGCTAACTGAAATAAGCCAATCAGAGAAAGGTAACTATCACATAACCTCACTCATATATGGAATCTAATGAGCAAAATAAATTGTTGAAAAAGTCAATCCAGAGGCATAGAAGCATAGAACCGATTGCAGAATCTCAGAGAGTAGGTGGGGAGGGTGGTTTGGTGGGAAGAGATCAATGAAAGAGCTTGTATGCATGTAAAGATAACCCCTGGGCACAGAAAATAGGGTGGTGAGGCCTGGGGTGTGGTGGTGGGGGAGGGATTGGGCTAAAAGGAGTCAATGGAGGACATATGTATTACTTTCAACAATAAAGATTTATTTAAAAAACAAAAACAAGAGAAAACTAAAGCATAAGGGAATGTGGGACTGACTAGGAGTGTGTGTGTGTGTGTGTGTGTGTGTGTGTGTGTGTGTGTGTGTGTTTGCACACGCTCACGTGCACTTATTTACATTAAAGAAGGAAAAGGTCTAAGTTTGAATATATGTTGATAAAGGATGATGAAAGATACAAGAAGACTAATTGATGGTCTCCCTATCCTCAGAGGGAGGCAATTGGAGAAGGATGGCTTGGGAGGAGTTGGGAAACACCTCCAACTGAAACAGGAGGGGAGAAGAACTGGCAGAGGGACATTGGCCAAAAGACACATAGATTGGATTGTGGGAACTTGATGGATCTTTTCTATTTAAAAAATATATATATGTGTGTTTTTATTGATTTTAGAGAGAGAGGAAGGGAGAGGGAGAGAGATATAAAAACATCTATGAGAGAGAAACATTGATCAGCTGCCTCCTGCACAATGAATGTAGGAATATCTAAGACCTTCGAGCAAAGTCTAACTAATGATTGGATTTCTCCTGAAAACAGTTGAATATGTGAGACTCAAGGATTCTGGGTGTTTTGCTTGTTATGGACATGTAAAACTGAGCATAGTACATGGACAAAGCAGAAGAAACTGGTAAAGGAGAGGTGGAGGTCTGAAGAGGGGATTCCAGAAAGAACAGGATCAGAGGGGAGTCAGGAAATAGTGGAGTCAAAAACACAGGAGCCTTGGCCCTTCTGGGACAGAAGGATAAAAGAAGGGCGGCATGAAAACTGAGATGCATTGCTGTGTAAAAACAGGAAGGAGACTTAGAAGAAAGTCAAGGGGCTCAGGTTCCACGGAAGCAGCATCCTTTAAGAACTGTTTAAGCACATGGGATATGTTACCACCTTTGACCTTGGCAACCACCATGTGCAAAGGCATGTCGAATTCATGTTACAGATCAGTAAACTTGAAGATTAAGAAACCTGCCCCCAGTCTTCATCTAGTAACTAACAGAGGTGAGCTTTGACATCCAATTAGGTGAAGTCTAACCAGGTCCCAATTTTAGTGTCCTCCACCTCATTCAGAGCCTTCCCACCATCGCATCCCAGACCCCTTTCAGCGGGTACCTGCCAAGCTTCCATCTTCAGCTCAGGACTGAAAAACCACACCCTCCTCCAGGATGTGCCAGGGGCTCCTCAAATTCAGTGTATTCTAAACTAGACTTTCCTCCCTAACTGAAAACACCTGTTCCTCCTCTCAGGACTAGCTTGACAATTTGTAGGATCCATACAAAATGAAAATGCAGAGCCCTTGCTCAAACATCAGGAAAGAAATGAAATCAAAGGTACTAAGATATAAAGCTTTATTCCCTCCACCCCATGGCTGCAGCTGTAATTGCTCATCATTGGCATTACTTTGAGGGCTGGGCCACCACAGGAGGGGAGATAGTTGCCCTAAGGACATAAATCAGAGAGAAAGTGAGAACTAGGCAGCATGGGAGAATGGGGTTGGGAGCAGATACATACCTTCACGTAGAACCCCATCAGAGCATCCCACATCAGCTAACTGGGCATTTAGAAGGGCTGATGTAGTTAACAGTTAGGCCCAGTACATAACTGGAAGGTTGGGTTAATTAATGGTGCAGTGCTGATGTGGACAGTAGGAAGCATTGGTAAGAATCACACAGGAATGAGAAATGTTGACGAGTGACCCCTTGGCTGCAGGAGAAAATGAAAATCTCCCATGCTCTGGCCAATTTTGCTCAGTGGTTGGAGCATCGACCCTCAGAATGAAGGGTCACAGATTCGATTCCCAGTCAAGGGTAAGAACCTCAGTTGCAGCTTCAATTCCTGGTGCCCCAACTGGGGCCCCTTGCAGGAGGAAACCAATTCTTTTATCATTCACATCAGTGTTTCTCTCCTTCTCTCTTCTCCCTCTCCTTCTTTCCACTCTCTCTAAATATCAATGGAAAAAATATCCTTGGTGAGGATTAAAAATAATTTTTTTGCAGGTCTCTGTAACCTTTATTTTATTTTTATTTATTTATTTTTCAATCTTTATTGTTGAAAGTATTACATAGGTCATCCTTCTTCCCCCATAAACCTCTTCCAGCCTGCTCCCATCCTTCCCCACCCACCTCCAAAAATAAAAAAAAATTGAATTAAATGTCCCAGGTTACTATAAGCCAGACATGTGTATTTCTTTCTTGAATATCACCAAGGACCCCAAAAGGGCCACAGCACTAGAAATGGAAACCAGACCCCAGTTACCCTGAGGAGAGGGCCCTCAGGACATGCAAATCTCTCCCACAGGCTGGTCAGATGTGGCCTCACATACAACTGCTGCCAGGACCTGGCCTCCATGCTGGGTGCCAGCTCCAGCCTGACAGAGTTGGACCTGGGGCAGAACGACCTGGGTGACCTTGGCGTGAAGCTGCTCTGCGAAGGGCTCAGGCAGCCTGCCTGCCAACTCAAGTACCTGAGGTAAGGCCCTGGGCTCATTTCTGGGCAGAGGACAGGGAAGTGGAGGGAGAGCAATGGAAAGGGGTGTGGGGACCCTGAATTGGACAGGGGAAGTAAAGGGGCAGAAAAATTCACGGGCAGCCTGACTTTCCTACTGGATCTGCCACTGATTTAGGCCATGAGACAGGAAGGTCTTCATCTGAGACTCGGTTTCTCCATCTGGATAACAGGGCTATCATACCCACCTCATAGATGTGATGAAATAAAATGCATGTAAAACTAGAGCAGCGCTGGGAACAGAGTTGAGAGGCTCCAATGAGAACCACCGGTGAGGCCACATGTTCAGAGATTCCTGCCCAGGTTTACTTCCCCATCCAAGGCAGGCCTTCATTCCTTCCTTCTTCCTTCCTTCCTTCCTTCCTTCCTTCCTTCCTTCCTTCCTTCCTTCCTTCCTTCCTTCCTTCCTTCCTTCCTTCATTCACTCATTCATCCTTTCATTTCATAACTCCCATGTGCCAAGCACTGGGCCAGGCACTGAGGAGACAATAGTGAGCAACAGACTTGGGTCCTGCCCCCTTAAGCTTACACTCCAGTGAGAAGGAAACAGATGTTAACACATAGTGTGTGTTTCTGAGCTGCGTGCAGTTTGTGAAGGGAAAGTGCACTGTGTTATGAGAGTGTAACAGGGAGGAGGATGGAATTAGACTCAGGGGCAGGGAGGGCCTCTCTGGGGAAGTGACATCCGGCCGAGACCTGAAACAGAAAGAGGGGTTGACCAGGCCCAGTCTGGGGGAGCAGTCCAGGCTGAGAATAGCGTGGGGGAGACCCCAGGACAGAAACAGGCTCAGAGAACTGGAGAGCAGTGTGACTGGGGTGCAGTGACCCCCAGCCCTCATTTCCCACACTGTCTCCCGGCCACTTCCTGTCGCCCTCCAGCCTGAAAACAAGTCCACAGCCAGTTTCTGACTGAACATTTCCCTGCGGCTCCTGGCTGGGGCCTGTCTCACACTCACAGAGCTGACAGGGCTCCAAACCTGTGTGTCCTGACCCCTCAGTCTTGGCTGAGGCTCCAGCTGGCTCTCAGCCTTTCCTCTGAGAGGCCTCCTTTCTCAAAGCTAAAGCAGCAGGAGGTGAACACTACATGTGGGTCACCCCAGAGCCCACTGTGTCCCTTCACAACCAAGGGCACCCCATCCTCTAGGGCTACCACCCTCCAGCCTCCTCCCTCTGAGCATGTGTGGCTGTCACCATCTCCTATGTCACCACCTCTCCAGAGCTGGGCCTTGGCAGTAGGTCTGCATCCATGCCCCGCTCACCCGTTACTCCTCACCTCTTGGTTGCCTCAGAGCAGCTCTAGGACGTCCTGCGAAGGTTTCTGCCTCCTTCCTTCCTAGGCCCTGGGACTGGGATGAGAGGGACAACCTCTGCATCATAGCCCATCCCCTCCCCAGGGGAGAACAGCTCTGACAGCAGGAATGAGGAAGGTGTGTGCTCTTTACAGGTGCAGGGTCTTCACACCTGCCTGTCCATGGCTTATAATAGTCTGAGCAGTTCCCTCGGTGTTGGAGGTGAGGACATGGAGGCCCAGAGAGGGCAGCAGCCATCCCAAATCCAACAGAAACCCAGAGCATAGGGTGTGTGAGAATGGAAACAGGCTCTTTCTTTCCAGGAAGCCTCCTAGCCTCTGGGAAGGAAATCCCAGGACCTTCTTCTGTGTGGTGAGTTTGAGGCCATGGACACTGGCTGCCCTCTGGTGGATGCTGAGAAGTGCTGCCCAGTTCGCTTTCAGGGAAGAAGACCCAGTCCCCACCCCTGGGAGTGCTTCCAGCTACAAGGATGGCCTCTGCCAACTAGGGCCATCTCACACAAGGTCACCTCCCCTCCCTGGGGTGGCCTGCATCCAGTGACTGGGGTAGTGGTATAAGGACCTTCCTCCCAGTATGGACAGTTCTGGAGTGTCATCCTCACAACAGAATTCCCACAGAGTCAGCTGTGTCTCTGGGGACTGCATCACACCCCAACTTGTCCTTCTACTCAGTCCTGTTACCTCCCTTTGCCCTCGTATTGACCCAAGAACACGCCCTAATAAACCTTCTACCTCTACTTTTCATCATAGAATGTGTTTTCAGGGAACTCAGTGTACAACACATTCCTGCAGGACCTGGAAGGTTCCATGATTCTGGGCCCTGAGGCCCTTGAGATCATGGGGGGCCCCAGGATAACGAGGCTCCCTTTGTGCTTGCAGGCTGAACCAGACTCGACTGAGTGAGGAGGTGACAGAGATGCTGAGTCTCCTGCGGCAGGAGAAGCCTCAGCTGGTCATCAATTATGGGTAAGAGGGGAGACACAGAACTCCCTGGAGCTGGCCTAGTCCCAGGGCTGACTCCTAGAGGCTGTTCCAGGAACATGCGCCAGAAGTAAGGTGGGGTGAGGTTGGGAGCAGAGACAGACAGATCCAGGAAGAAGCCAATAAACAACAGCAGCCAGAGTGAGGTTGTTTGTTTGTTTCTTTAGTTCAAACAAGATTATGCCCCTTCTCTTTTTTTTTTTTTTTAATTAAATCTTTATTGTTCAGATTATTACATTTGTTCCTCTTTTTTTTCCCCCCATAACTCCCCTCCTCCCAGCTCCCGCCCCACCCTCCGCCCTCACTCCCCACCCACTGTCCTCTTCCATAGGTGCACGATTTTTGTCCAGTCTCTTCCCGCATCTCCCACACCCCTTTCCCCCCCAAGAATAGTCAGTCCATTCCCTTTCTATGTCCCTGATTCTATTATGATCACCAGATTATTTATTCACTTGATTCTTAGATTCACTTGTTGATAGCTGCATATTTGTTGTTCATAATTTGTATCTTTACCTTTTTTTTTTCTTCTTCCTCTTCTTAAAGGATACCTTTCAGCATTTCATATAATACTGGTTTGGTGGTGATGAACTCCTTTAGCTTTTCCTTATCTGTGAAGCTCTTTATCTGACCTTCCGTTCTGAATGATAGCTTTGCTGGATAAAGTAATCTTGGTTGTAGGTTCTTGGTATTCATCACTTTGAATATTTCTTGCCATTCCCTTCTGGCCTGCAAAGTTTCTGTTGAGAAATCAGCTGACAGTCGTATGGGTATTCCCTTGTAGGTAACTGGGTTTCTTTCTCTTGCTGCTTTTAAGATTCTCTCTTTGTCTTTTGCTCTTGGCATTTTAATTATGATGTGTCTTGGTGTGGTCCTCTTTGGATTCCTTTTGTTTGGGGTTCTCTGCGCTTCCTGGACCTGTAGGTCTATTTCTTTCACCAGGTGGGGGAAGTTTTCTGTCATTATTTCTTTAAATAGGTTTTCAATATCTTGCTCTCTCTCATCCTCTGGCACCCCTATAATTCTGATGTTGGTGCGCTTGAAGCTGTCCCAGAGGCTCCTTACACTATCTTCATATTTTCGGATTCTTTTTTCATATTGCTTTTCCAGTTGGGTGTTTTTTGCTTCTTCGCATTTCGAATCTTTGACTTGATTCTTGCGCTCCTCTGGTCTGCTGTTGGGTGTCTGTATAATATTCTTTATTTCAGTCAGTGTATGCTTAATTTCTAGTTGGTTCTTTATCACAACATCGAGGGTCTCATTAGATTTCTTGAGGTTCTCACTACATTTATCGGCGGTCTCACCAGTCTTTTCGAGGGCCTTACTAAGTTTATCGGCAGCTTCTAGACAGTTCTTAAGAGACCTTAAAAGTGTAGTTCTGAACTCAATATCCTCCATTGACAGTTTTGTCCTGTTTCTTTGTCTCCGCATTTTTTATGCTTTCTTGGTGCACCCCCTAGTGGTCTTTGTCCGCAGTCTTGTTGCCTTTAAGCCTTGATTGATGTCGGCAATACCGGGGTGATTTGACCTCCAGGCTAACTGGCTATGAGAGTCTGCTGTGTCTGTAGTGGGAGGGCTTCTGTGCTGGATCTCTAGGGCGGTGCTAATCTAGCGTTTGCCTGAGGCTATCCGGCAAATGGCGCAGCGCAGGGCTTGGGCGGGGCGGGTCCCTGGGGATCTACAGGGCGGGCGGAACAAGCAGTTATGGCGACTCTCAGTTCCTTCCCCAGGGGCTCTGCCTCTCAGAGCCCCAGCAATGGCTGCAAACCTCGGAGAGAAAGCTGCCTTCGAGTTCCGACCGAAGCCAGACAGTCCCGTTTCTCCCGTTTGAGTCTGCGTCCCCAGAGACTCGCCCGGATCTGGAGCTCAGAGTCTGAAACTCCCTCCCGATTGAAAACAACAACCGCGCCCTCCGCCGCCAGCCCGCTCCGCGCGCACACTCCGCACCTGAGTATTTCACTTCAGCACTGCGCCTCCTCTGAGTCTGGGTATGATATTCTCTTTCCTCCTAGTTGTAGAATTTCCACTCAGCCAGCCTTCCCGTGGTTCTGGGTGATGTCCGTTCTGTCCTTTAGTTATATCTCTGAAGTGGTTGTTTGAGGCAGCGATCTCCGGCGTTAACCTATGCCGCCATCTTGGTTTCCTCTCTCCCCCTTCTCTTTTTAATCCTCCCATGAGATGATACGGAGGTGAAAAGATGAAGAAAAGTGTATGAGTGACTAGGTAAGATTTGGAAAATGAAAAGCAACAATGATGAGGGGCAGATAAGGACAAGCAGAGAGAGCTTTGGCAGGACAGACCACCCTCATTCACTCTCCACACATATAAACACCCATGCACGCAGCCCAGCTGAGGGGAATCCTGGAAAGAGGAGAATATGATTTCCTCTTGGGAATTTGCTGCAGCCCCATGGGCCTTCATTTTGGTATATTTTGGCCTGTGACTGCAAAGTACATCTATGCCCTGGTTCCCATTCTTCTGCCTCACCTGGTCTTGCAGAAGCAATTAGGAGGCATTACGAGGACCATTCCTCAGGGAACAAGCATTCCCCTTAGACCCACAGTGTTTTAGGCACAGGACCATGGACATGGGCCCAACACTTAGGAATTAACTCAGCAGGAGCACAGGCCCAGGTGACCCACAGCATGAATCATTGTGCCTGGGATCAGCCTGAATGCTCTGATGGCCTATTTGAGTCCGTCCAAAGGACCTGAGCTGAGTTATGAAAGGTGGGAGGGCTTAGCTGGGCCTCGAGTGGGTAGATTCCTGGCAGAGGTAGAGGCTCTGATCTCAGCTCCTTTGAGGAATGGAAGGAGGCCAGGGACCAGGAACACTGCTACTCAAGTGTGGACCATGGACCAGCAGTGTCAGCGTCAGCATCACCTGAGAGCTCATTAAAAATGCAAATCTCAAGCCTCACTCCAGACCTGCTGAATCAGAATCTGTGTTTTGACAAGGCCTCTGAGCAGCATTGGATTAGAAGTGAGTGAGCATGGAGAGTGGCAGAGGTGGGATTGGAGCTGAGGGGTGGCAGGCAGTTGGGAGGACAAAGAGGCCTTTGGGCCATGTTAATAACTTCCACCTCTACCTCAAAAGCAATAAAGAATGATTTCAGGGCTTCAGTAGCTATGTGATGACTCAGGTTCAAATTGAAAATCAGAGGCTATGTAGAAATGGCCTGGAGAGGGACAAGAAAAAAAGAGGGCACCTTGAGGGGCAAGATGCAGTGGCTCGAGCCCCATATACCAGGGCCTTGGCTGGAGGTGGAGGCTGTGGAGGTGGAGAGAAGGGACTAGAAAGGAGAGCTATACTAGAGCCAGTGACAAGGTGGCTAATCAACTCTCAGAAGGAGCCAGGACTGCATCCCAGTTCCTGCATGGATGGAGGGATGGATGGGGGCCATCATGAAGACAGGGTCTATGAGAGAACGTCAGATGAAGGCCATGAGTTCAAATTCAGATGGGTTGAAATTAAGTGCGGATGTCACATAGACAGCCCCAACTTCCTCCAAGATCTCAGGGAGAATTACCAACTCTGTGTCTAGGAAGTCAAGTATAATGATCACTAAGATGGTCCCAGGTGGAGGACGGACGAGGGATGGCACATCTCCACCCCAGTGGCAGAGATCAGAATCAGGTACATTGAAGGGGCCAAGCTGGAAGCATCATTAATTGGGACAGCGGTGAGGAGGATATGGAAGGCCATCCCCTCCATGCTCCTGCCTCTGTGGTGAGCCATGGCAAAATTCACAACTAGAGAGGCCTCGCTCCATGCAAGATCCTCCACACCTAGAGCCTGGCAAGATCTCTGGTTTCCTCCCTCTCAGGCTCAGAGGCTGAGGCTGCTCCTCTCCAGCTCATGTCTGGCATGTCTCAGACTCTGATCCACACTGGGCTTCTGAAGCCTGGGAATCCCTTTCCGTCATTGTCCATCCACCTTTAGAGCCATGTTCTTCTCATAAGCTACCTTTCTGGTGGATGAGGGAATAGAAATGCCTCTGTACCAGTGGGCAGTGGTGGCATCAGTGGACAACAGGGTTGTGCCTCCTCAGAGAGCAGGTAGTCAGCCCCAGGAGCATGGACAGAAGCTACTAACACACACCTTCCAAAGTCCTGGCAGACCAGCCTTGAACAGGACCCCTCCATGGTCTAGCTTAAGGGGTAGGAGAGGCCAGACAGGAGACTCTAAAGCTGACCACTGCCCTATTTGTTCCTCTCACTTAGAAGAGATGGAATCCTCATATTGACCTTATCCTGGACTTCAGAGGAAACAACCACTGGCGCCTCTAATGAGGCTTAATGACTTCTGGGGCCCCACAGGGCCTGTGGCTACAGAGATGGTTGACAAACACAGGAGGAGTTGGTACCAGTGGGTGAGGGGACTCTACTGTGCCAGGCTGGCCCCCAACTCCGCCATCCCCACAGTGGTTCCCCACAGACACTCAGCACCCCAGTCATAGCTATGTGGGCCCACTCTCATTGCGGAGCCACCAGGCAGACAGACCAGGGCTGGATTAGTGCTTTTATTATTGAAACTGAAGTTTTATTATGAAAAGTGTTGATGTTCTGTTTGTGAATGGTGACGCTGACGTGGTCTCGGCGTGCAGGATTGAGTTTAGAGAAGCAGAGAGCTACCGCTCACTCAGGCAAGTAGCAAAGCCCCCAAAGCTCTCATGGATTTTATTTGGGGAGTACAGCAAATAACAATGGAGTACAGCAAGTGACAATGATTAACAAGCATGCTTATGAGATCATCTGAGCTAACTTATACATTAAACTATTAATTTCCTATGTTATACAAAGACCCTTTCCACCTGCAGCAGTGTACCCTCCCTTGAACTTTCCATGCCCTCATGGACTATTTATCACCTCAAGGAAAGTTCTGCCTCTGAACAATAAGTCTTGCTTGCAAGACTTTGTTCTGATGTGGCCTGTTTGCAGGCTCCCGCCTTTTCCTGGCAGAACGTCCTCTTCTAGTTAACTTCATTCCGCTTGACCGCTACATTTCCCCCTTTTAGTTTTGCTTCAGGTTCATGACAGAGAAGATAGCACTGCTGTTTCATTATAAGGTACAGGGGTGACACACAAGCTGGTATGGTTCCAATCACACTTTAACTGTAATCGCCTTTGGAGACTAACAATTTGGTCCCCCAATAAAACTACTGATTGTTCAAGATCGGCTAATTGTTCATTGATTTCACTATCAATTTTCCATTGAGAATTCCATAGCTGTTCTGAATCTTTATGCCAGTCTTGAACAAAAGTAGCAGTTTGGACTGATCACTGTCATGCCACCCCAGCTGCTGCAGCAGTTGCTGTTATTGCAATTAACCCAAGAATTACAGCGATTAGCATGCCAATAAACCTTTTTGACCTCTTCAATATTCCTTCCACAATGGCTTGGAGAGCTCCAGCTAGAGAACTTCCTGCCATCATCGATCCATCTGTACAGGTAACCATACTCCTGTTCTGGCTTGCAGTAGATACAAGCTCTCTCTACTGTGATTAAAAGGTACACAGTTGTTTTTTTTTTTTAATTAAATCTTTATTGTTCAGATTATTACATTTGTTCCTCTTTTTTCTCCCCATAACTCCCCTCCTCCCAGTTCCCACCCCACCCTCCGCCCTCACTCCCCACCCACTGTCCTCATCCATAGGTGCATGATTTTTGTTCAGTCTCTTCCCACATCCCCCACACCCCTTCCCCCCCCACAAGAATAGTCAGTCCACTCCCTTTATATGTCCCTGATTCGATTATAATCACCAGTTGATTCTGTTCATCAGATTATTTATTCACTTGATTTTTAGATTCACTTGTTGATAGATGTGTATTTGTTGTTCATAATTTGTATCTTTACCTTTTTCTTCTTCTTCCTCTTCTTAAAGAATACCTTTCAGCATTTCATATAATACTGGTTTGGTGGTGATGAACTCCTTTAGCTTTTTCTTATCAGTGAAGCTCTTTATCTGACCTTCAATTCTGAATGACAGCTTTGCTGAATAAAGTAACTTTGGTTGTAGGTTCTTGGTATTCATCACTTTGAATATTTCTTGTCACTCCCTTCTGGCCTGCATAGTTTCTGTTGAGAAATCAGCTGACAGTCTCATGGGTATTCCCTTGTAGGTAACTGAGTTTCTTTCTCTTGCTGCTTTTAAGATTCTCTCTTTGTCTTTTGCTCTTGGCATTTTAATTATGATGTGTCTTGGTGTGGTCCTCTTTGGATTCCTTTTGTTTGGGGTTCTCTGTGCTTCCTGGACTTGTAAGTCTATTTCTTTCACCAGGTAGGGGAAGTTTTCTGTCATTATTTCTTCAAATAGGTTTTCAATATCTTGCCCTCTCTCTTCTTCTGGCACCCCTATAATTTGGATGTTGGTACGCTTGAAGCTGTCCCAGAGGCTCCTTATACTATCTTCGTATTTTCGGATTCTTTTTTCATTTTGCTTTTTCGGTTGGGTGTTTTTTGCTTCTTCGCATTTCAAATCTTTGACTTGATTCTTGTGATCCTCTGGTCTGCTGTTGGGAGTCTGTATAATATTCTTTATTTCAGTCAATGTATGCTTAATTTCTAGTTGGTTCTTTATCACAACATCAAGGGTCTCACTAGATTTCTTGAGGATCTAACTACATTTATCGGCAGTTTCTAGAAAGTTCTTGAAAAACCTTAAAAGTGTGGTTTTGAACTCTATATCCAGTAGTTTGCTTTCCTCCATTTCTGTCATTTTTGTCCTGTTTCTTTGTCTCGGCATTTTTTTATGCTTCGTTGTGTCGATAGAGTGGCTTTCTGTGCTAAGTGTCCTATAGGGCCCGGTGGCTCAGCCTCCCCAATTACCTGAGGTAGACACTCTTGGTGCACCCCTTGTGGGCTTTGTGCACAGTCTTGTTGTAGTTAAGCCTTGATTGTTGTAGGTAACACTGGGAGGATTTGACCTCCAGGCCAATTGGTTGTGAGAATCATCTGTGTCTACAGTGGGAGAACTTCTGTGCTGAAGACACCCTTATGGGGCAAGACTTGCTTCAGTGGGGCTTTGGTGCTCACTGAATCTGCCCCCCTGAGTGTGTCCCTTATGGATCTGCAGCGTTATAATTGGATTGTCCCACTCTGACCACTGGGTACACTGGCTCTTGGATCTAAGGAGGTGCTAATCTAGCCGCTGCCTGAGGTTATCCTGCAGAAGCCAGCTGTAAAGCAATGCAAGTTGCCCTGGGGCCTTGGGCAGCTTCAGTTTGTTAAGTAATTTTCAGATTACAAAGGGCCGGGCCTTTTCTATACAAAAGCCTCCGTGCACAGCTTGGGTGGGGCAGAGCCCCACGGGATCAACTGGGCGGGCAGATCGAGCAGTATGGTTGCTCTCAGTCCTGTCCTCAGAGGCCCCGGCAATCACTGCATGTGCGTCGGAGAGAAAGCTGCCCTCTCGACTGATGCCAGACAGTCCCATTTCTCCTGTATGAGTCTGGGTTCCCAGAGACTCGCCTGGAACTGGAGCTCAGAGCCTGAGACTCCCTCCCAATTGAAAAAGACAATCGTGACCTCAGCCGGCAGCCCTCTCCGCATGCACCTCCGCACCTTTGTATTTTACTTCTGCACTGCACCTCCTCTGAGTCTCGGTATGCTTTTCTCTTTCCTTCTAGTTGTAGAATTTCCACTCAGCCAGCCTTCCTGTGGTTCTGGATGATGTCCCTTCCGTCTTTTAGTTGTATTTTTGAAGTGGTTGTGCGAGGCAGCAATCTCCAGTGTTTACCTATGCCGCCATCTTGGTTTCTCCCCAGAGTTATTTACACAAGTTAATAAGGTACAATTAAAACAAGATATTTCCCCAGTCCCAGATACACAGGCATTCTGGCAACTCCTGTTGAATAGTTGTTCATTCTTGTTGCTCCTTCATCTGGTTTCAAAGGCCCACGATCATCAAAAGGTCCAGGCATCCAATTAGAGTCATTAGTTACAGGGCCTTCCATGGGCAGTCACAAGACGCTCCCCTTCCTGGCATAAGCGCTTCATCTGTCCCCATGTAGGTGGAGGGGTGTTTCGGGTGCGAGGCAATGGCACACGAATTGTTTGTCCTCTCTGGATGGTTAGCTGCGCAAACCGGTCTTCCAGTCTCGCTTTATCACACTTCCTCTTGCTCGCCATGCCTTAACTTGATTCTTTTATCAGGAATCCAGAACTTCTTGGTTCCTGTGGAAACATAAGCATAACCTCGACCCCACCTTAAAACGGTAGCCAGGCACCATTGATTAGTAGTAACATCTTGGTACATGATAGATTGTTCTACCGGGACCTCCTTTTTATGTCCCCTATGTAGCTCAGCAGCTGACACTGCATCTGTATGGAAATTTAAAAAATTTAAAGTAAATAGAGCTCTTAATAATATTCGTCGGGGAGTCTGGCCTGATACCAGGTCCTCTCCCCCTTTTAGTTTTTGCAGCATTTCCTTAAGGGTGCGGTTCTTTCACTCAATAATTGCTTGACCTGTACTGTTTCCAAGAATTCCTGTAATATGTTTAATATTAAACTGTTAGAAAAAATGTTGACACTTACCTGATAAAGATGCTGAGCCATTGTCAGTTTTAATGGCTCGGGGTTTGCCCGTTACAGTAAAGGCTTCTAATAAATGGGTTATAACATCGCTGATGCCCATGAGAAATGAGAATAAGTATCAATAGAATGGTGAACAAATTTAAGCTTGCCAAATTCTGGCACCTGAGTGATATCCATTTGCCAAAGGGCATTAACAGTTTCTCCTCGGGGATTAACTCCCATGGGTAAGTGAGCAGTGTGGAATGGCTGACAGTGAGGGCATGTTTGC